GTTTTATCTACGAAATAATTTATAGAAGACTCGACCCAAATGGACAGTGCCAAAGGGTTCCATTTCCTTATTCGATTTCTCTACTTTTTTTCTCGGTCGTAATGTGTTCAATACTTGGGGTTTTTCCCCATTTTAGATACTGAAATTTGAGCAGGAAGTTGTTATACAGTTGGGGGGGACTCACACTTTTCGCGCAAAAAAATCTTTTGTTGTCAATGTGGGATATGGGAAATCAGGCAATCTCTTTTATGAGTACGAGAAGAAGCGAAGAATTATGTATGCATGTACGGAATGGCATTAAAATTGTATAAGAACATATATGAGATTTAATTAAAGTCTTGTAACCAACTGATACGTACGAAAATACTTATATTTATGTATAATATAAAAATAATGTCTCCCTAATATTAGTTATACATTTTTTAGACTTATAAAAAAAATACAAACATTTAAATTAAAATGAATTAATGATTTGTAGAACCCACATTTCCCTTAAAAGCAGAAAGAATCGAATTCGGATGACTCTAACTTATTGCTAGCATTAATTCTGGCTACCGAAGCGGGGCACTGGAGAGTAATTAAAGTTGGGGAAGGTTGGAGACTTGTGTACAAACCTTATGCGGTGACAAGTTAGCTGGTTTACTTCCAGATATGCAGTCAGATTGGACGGGTCTCCAATGAATATAATTTTGGAGGAATCACATGCTATATATGAACAGTTCACAAGACAGCTCTACGACACTGCTCTGCTTGGCATTGATGAATGTAGAAATATTGAAAGCATTCATAAATGGGAACAGAAACCACATATATGAGGAAACGTTTAAGCAAGGTATTGTACTTAAATAAACAAAAAATCATCACCAAAATTAAGAACAGACATTCAAGATGTATCCCCGAGTTGTCTTCATCTAAGCGAAGTGCGTCCCTGGCGCTGTCTCGTCCCGCATTTGGCTGTCAGGCAACGTGGCAGGGATTCATCCGGCAGGCAGGAACCCTTTGAATGACACAGCCTGTAGGCATAAAATTATGTGCGCAATGCTAAAATTTTAATTCCAAATTTGATTCCCAACTCCAGCAGCTCCAACTCAGCCTGTGCTCGGTCTCCATCTCTTTTTGTTTTTCCTCCGAGGAGCAGGGCCACAATTTTCTTAATTTTCGCTGGATAAGTTTGCCGGAGCGTGTCGCATTCGGAAACCGCTTGCTTAAGGGAGGGGAAGGGTGGCCGTGGAGGCGCTATCGCGACAAAGACATCTCGGGGAAGGAAACATTTTTTGGCTTATGCCAAAATTACATCAAAAAGCGCTGCCGGAATGTAGGCAGACGTGGGCTCAGGCTCGAATGGGAAAAGTGGCAAAAGGATGGTGCTGGAGATGGAGGCGGACTGCAGGAATGGGATGGAATGCCTGGGCGTTGCCGACTTCGAAGGAGGTTTGTGTGAGGAAATGTCAGGATTCTTGTACGAAACTTCCCGGATAAAGATGGAAAAGGAAAGAACGCGTACGGCTACGGCTACGGCTATGGGTGCATGTTCGGGTGCGGGGAGGGAGTGATTGCTATCTTCATAATGACTTTGAAGTGTCAAACAATTTTCGAGAATTATCAACGCCGTTCGTTTCGTCTTTTGGCAAAGGTGAAAATTAAAATGGGACTTTTTGTTTAACTGAAACTTGATGGGCCCAACGGGTAGGCAGACAGAAGATATAATTATAATTTAATTGAAATGAAATTGTCGCTTAACTCAAGTGGGGATGGATGGTCGTTGAGGGAGGATGGCCCCTTGGATGGCCCCTTGGCTGGCAAAATAAGATTAAATCGCATCGAAATTCGAGACGGAAAACTTTGAATACCAAACACCCAATAAGTTCTCATCATTTTTCCACATTAATCTTAATTTCTGAAAATTACTATGGAGTGGAATCCATGGACAGGTGGATTAAAAAGGCATAGAGAAAAACTCTTCTACACACTTGTACTTCAAAATCGTAGTAAGGGCTCAGAGCATGCTCACCCTTGTCCTTTAAAATGGCCGCAGGCCCAACTGAAAAGTTAGAATAAGTGAGTCAATAAAGGAACAGGCCATCTTGTGCCGACAAGGACACAAACTATTTGCACACCAATTTAATATGCGGCACAGGCAGGTCGGGCAGGCCGGCCGGTTGATGGAGCTCGGATGGTCAGCTGTCGAAGTGGACACCATGAAGTTGCACAAACGCAGGGGGGGGGGGGCCACAACAGCACCGTCCACAGGGCTGCCATAAACCCATGAAAGAGAAAACAAAAAGTGAAGTAGGCATTTCTACATCTTTCGACTATTGGTTACCCGCTACTCAGAAGTGACACACACTTCTGTATCCTCAACTGGCCCAAGCAGAAGATAAACATAGCAGATTAATAAACTCCGATCGAGTACATGCGTGTATCGGCATCTACACGAACATAGCATACCCTTGGTCTGTACGATTAAAAGGGGTAGAAAAACGGATAAGTTTTGCCCAGGTTCGAACAATGTCCATGGAAAATCAATTTAATTTTTACTCATGTTCATGGCATGGCATGGCCATGGCCCTTCAAGGAGTTTGGTGGAATGGAAGCGCGGGGGGACTGCCCGAGGTGGAAATTTCACTTAAGTCACTTTGAACTTTCGTAAGATGCCATCAAAGTTAGCTCCAAAGTTACTGGTCAGTTGATTTTTCTGCCCCCAAGGGAGGGACCATTACGCCCGATATTTACATTTTACCCAAACCCAACACCAGGGGAAACCTTTCCTCGAACACGATCTGAAACATCGTTGAACAGACGCAAAACTTTCAGTCAATTTTTGAAGCATTTTTCTTTTTACTTATTTTTAGTTACAGGTGTGACAGGTCCTGTCACTATTGTGTATAGAAGGAAGCAAAATTCAATTAATATTTAACCAAATATATTAAATGAAATTAGATAGAAATTTTAAGATTAAATCAACAAATATTTCAACGCTGCTAACTAGCAAATAAACAAACAAACAGGTTTATCATCACCAGACAGAGTATCCCAAGGATAAGTTTTATTCAAGGCGACTTTTCTTCCAAGGGGATTAAATTATGTAAAATATATTTCCAGCTTCCCAGCATATTCTCTTTTGAGTGCCCAAAATTCGTGAGTCTTGCCCAGTGCCATAACAAAAAACAAAATGGCTTGCTTGCACGAGTAGTGTGTGGAACACGAAGATGAAATTGGAAAATCCGAACAAGAACAGGGACAAAATGAAGAGGGGCGAATGGACTTGGGGAGGCAGTGGGAAGGGTGTGGCACTTACATGACATGACAATAACTTTGACTTGACCACTCGACCGTTTCTCATATCTGGCCATCCATTCGAGGACCCCAGTCGCCCAGTCGCCCTCCCCCTATCCTGTCTCCTTGTTTGTTTGTGCTGTAGTCTTGTCGGCAGACGCAGGGTCAGATGGTCAGAGGGCTGACGGACACACAGCCAGAGAGACAGATGGTACAGGTACACACACATACAATATGTGCTGTGTATGTGCTGCGAGTCGTACAAGTCCGTCGTAATGCTCTTTTTTGGCTCTGATGCGATGCTTGAACAAAGAGAAATATTTATGCGTCGACCAACTTGACCAACTATCTGACTCCACTACCACGACCATTGCCTGCGGACGACTACGACGACGACGACGACGACGACGACCTACGGTACTCCAAAGCCAGAAATTCCCAATTCAAATCCAATTCGAAATCAAAGCTCCGCCAAAGAAGTGTCTCCCTGGACAGGGACAGGGACAGGGACAGAGAGGGTTGAGGCTGAGGTTGAGTCGTCCGGCGTGTTCTCAATGCTGTGTGTTTATGATGAAAAATGTCCAAAATTACTTTTGCCAGGCTTCTTTCTGGTCCAGAGTACATTGGATTGCTGTATCTGTGCGATGTGCCTGTGTGCCTGTGTGCCTATGTGCCTGTGCCACAGAGCGTATGCTGTGGCAGACACATGATGACCTTTTTGGGTATGGCACGAAAGGGTCAGTCCGAGACAACTCGACTCGAGTTCCCCATTAATATTTAATAATGCGAGTTGTTGATTGAAACATTTAGAATTTTCTATTACACTACTTGCACCCTCCTTCCCTTCCTCCCTTCCTCCCACCCTCCCTCATTAGAATAAATATCCCATTTCGTCAGTCGGCTAAAAGGGAGCTGTGATTTTATTTGTATATCGGAAATTAAATTGGAATAATTCAGTGAGGGGATGTAATGCAGCTGGAAGAGTCTTCTATGCGTCTTCTGCTATGCATCCATGCATGTATCCATCCCACATCTATCCATTCTCATTTATTTGGCATTAATGTTCCATTTTCAGTCCAGAAGGATTTGTTCAGTATCTTCCCCTTTGGACAATCAAATACAATTTATCGATGCCCGTCATCTCAGTGATCTGAAAACAAGAAAGCACAAATTGATGCATTTCTATCTATCCTGCGGGATATACGTTTCGCTTACCTCGTGTTGTAATGCAACATAATTTCGTATCTCCAATGGACCTTCAGTTGAGGGATCCCTCACTGATTTCAGAATGTCCAGTGTATTTTTTAGGAAGTCATCGGAGACGACTTTCATTCCCAAATCAATAGTCTTAAGCTTTCGACATTCTCGAATCATGTCAAGCAGATGCCCAGAAATATTTACAAGTCCATTTCTCGGAGTGATTTCCAGTCTCTCGAGATTAGTCATGTTAGCCAAGAGGGAGAACCTTTCTTCGTCTCTGAAGCCACACTTTAGTCTTGTGATTGAATCAACCTGCACGAGGTGACGAGCCTCTTCAAGGTCGATAAAAGTGCGCTCTACAACCAAGTTATTTAATTTGGTTGATTCCTTCATTGAAAAAGCCCGGAAGAGACCTGCTAGAGAACCCCTTTCGGGAATACAGGATATTATCAGATCTTCGAGGTGCAAAGACTCGGCCAAACCCTCAATGCCCTGGGTATCTTTGATTGGGAGCTTCAAGGACTTCAGTCTCGGAATTCGAAGAACAAAGTTTATTGCGGTAGCTAATTCCTGACCGAATGGCGGTCCATCGATAATTAATTTCTGGATATTTGATTCGCCAGAAGATGCAAAAGCAGTGAGCAGATCAACCAGAGAGGCTTCACCTTCCCTAGTTGTTATGCCCAGATGCTCGATGCAGTTTCGCTGTGACAGTACATCCAGGCCCTCTGTGCTGCAGAACGCGCACTCGAGTCCCTTCAAGGAACCTATAGCTGACACTTCGGTCACCTCTTGGGGGGTGAGACTTTCGCCCCTTACAGCCAGATGTACCAGTGTGGGGCACTTGCTGGCGGCAAGACTCCCAAGAAGGTTCTTCAGGGAGCCCGCTCGATGGGAACCAACAACCAGCACTGCCAGATGGGGAAGATGAGCCAGCTGTTCTATTTCTATATCCTGAACATGGGATACACTGCAGACGAGGGTTCGGAGGGACTTCATTCGACTCACTTCCCTCAGCTCTTCATTGCTCATTTCATAGCGCCTGTCCACTCTCAGTTCCTGCAGAGTCTCGCCTTGACACGCGGCCAGCTGGCCCAAGAAATCGCGCATGGAGCCATATTCGAAGACTCCAGCAATAAAAACCTTCCGCAAATTCTGCAGGCCTGCTAGGGGATTCAGTCCAATGCCGTTGGCTAAGCGATCCCCTAAAGAGACATTTAATGGAGAAACAGTCAGTTTCCCAGTGGACTGATCGAACGTGATTTTCCTAGGGGATAAATGGAGAGAAAAACAGTTTAAGCTTTTGCGATCGATTTAAGAGTTAATTACAAACCTGCCACCGATTCTTTTTTCAAAAACTTTGAAATCGCTCAAATGGATTAAATGCCAAAAGCTTCGCACATCGGAGAGTTGCCCTGTGAAACTCGTCCACGTAGTAATTTTGGCCAATTCCATGGTATCACCAAAGTCGAGCGAGCCCTTGTCTATGGACAGACTCTGTAGATAGTGAGTAGTTCTGGTCGCTAGGGCGGCAAAGAGATCTCTCAGTGAACCAGCAGCAAGGCACCCTGTTATTTCCAAATGGTTTAGAGGTCTTAGACAGGCTAATGCTTCCATCAGAAGGTTATTTCGATAATACAAATTTATTGCCACGAGCAGTTTATTTGTTTCCCGATCAAACGATATGCAGCCGCCGTTGATCTGTATATCAATTTTATCTCGGCAAGCCTCCAGCATTCCGACGAGCATAAAAGACGATTTTATGTCGACACGACTTGGCCGGTTCATGAATACATTGCTTATATGAATTGTAGCTAACCTTGGGCAAGACTTTATAACTTCAAGGACCATGGGCGATATATTGCCTAGCACTTCAGCGACAGTCAAGTGCAGCTCTTCAAGTTCGGTTAGTTCAGACAGAAGCTGAATGTCCAGAGGATCATAGAACTGACATTCCAAAGTTCGCAAAGATCGCCCGCAAAGGCGGGCCAATTCCATCGACTCCCTGGGATCGATCCTCATGTTTAATATATGAAACTTTTGTAGTGTCTGCGGCTCCTTCGAGGCCAGAGCAGACAGGAGGCCCCAGAGGGATCCTGGGTATGATGGCGCAGATGTAATAGTCAATTCCTCGAGCTCCGGTAGCTCCGCCAGGAGCTCAGCGTTTTGTGTTTCGACAAATCCACACGTCAACCTCTTCAGTGATACGATTTCAGATACCGAAGTAAAGCCTGGCAGAGTCGAAAGTGGACTGTAGTCTGAGGTGTTTGCATTCTGGTCTCTCAAATCAAGTGTAAGATTTCCACATGTTTCGTATGATATTGACGAATTGTCTAGCTCAATCCTCGTTTTCCCCTTTGACTCCACTATAATTCTCAGAACTTGCTCGCATAATGTCCTAGAGTCGTGTTTGGACAGTATCTTCAAGTGGTTGAGTTCGGTCAGTTGGGACACGAGCCCAATGCTCTGCGGATCGTCAAATCCACACTCCACTGCCTCGTCTATGTACAATCTGTCGAGGACTTTGCTCTGAGTGCAGGCCAATCCCTCCAGCAGGGGCTGAAGAGTGCCCTTCTCGTGCAGCCTTCTCGGAGTTCCTCGAGGCTTCTAATTCCTCCCAGACCTTTTAGGGTGTAGCCTGAAATAAACAAATGTTCCATGTTAAATATGTATGCCCCTAGACCTAGACATATAATGCTCTCACCCGACACATCAATGTGTAACTCTTTCAGGTTTGTCTTGTTTTTGAGTTGATCTATCACGGTGTCAAATGCGTCCATGTAATCTCTGTGGAATGATTCGGGAGCGTAACACAATTCGACATCGGTTGCGGGTGCGTCCCTGATGGCCTGGCTGAGGGAGCTCCAATAGGTTTCCTTGTACTTTGCTAACTCATTCTTCAACCGGGTATGCACCTCTTCAAAGTCGATGTTAATATCTAAATATCTGAATATTATGTACTTCTCAAGACTGTTATATAGTTTCGTATTCCAGTCACGGAGCAGCGCGGCAAACGGCTTGCAACAAGCGGCAAAGCTAATGAGATCGGCATACTTGATTTCCTCGAGTTCAGCTGGTCTTCCGCTCTCGCAGTTCTCTTTTATGTGCATAAATATTTCAAAGAAGCTGTAACTTGCCAAATCAAAGATGCTCACTTGGTCCATTTTTGTTATTTAATGGCAGCGTTTTATTGTGCACAAGTGCGGATTTTACAAAACAAATTGTTGTTGCTTTTGCGTGCATTCGCTTGTCGGTATTTATATATTTTTATTCGCTGGAAGAGCTTTTGCTTCGATCACGCACTAGTGATTCATACACAAGAACGAACAGTTTCCCCTCTAACATTATTATTTATTTGTTAATAGTATCAAATGACCTCATCATTTCTTAATAATTACACTTCAATGAACAGTTTTAAATAAATAAACAAATAAATAAATAATTAAATAATTCGTTCAATGTACGCGACGCATTGGATCTTCAACGCCTTCTCGACTGTGACTGACTGCAGTGTGGCTTATCTGCTCCCAACACGAGCAGCTGCTGGCAGTTGGCTGATAAAAGCTTTTTATAATTTTTTTTTTCTCTCATGGAAAGAACCTCTCCGTCTGTATAGTTAGCTAATCTTCCTCTCTCTTTGCAGTACAAACTAATGGGTTAGGTTATTTTGCTGGTATTTTTAATACCTTTTGTTGGATGGGGAGCAGAGAACAATTGAAGTATAATTGAAGCAATAAGTAGAAGAAATTCTACTTGCATAGTTTACATACATGAAGTAGCCTGTGTTGGCTCTGCTTTCTAATGTTGGTGTGACGGCTCTCTGGAATCGCTGCGACCAGTCTAATTGAATTTTAACGGCTGTCATTTCTCTTTTATTCAACTCTTAATATCCAGAATAGAACTGATATAGAACCGATTGGGATCCTCCAAAGAATGTAAGCACCATTCGTCGTACCATTCCAATCAAATAATTCGACATTTTAATGTATTTTCGTATCAAAATATATTTAAAATTAGTATCAAAATAAGTTCCCTTGGTGTGAGCTCAGAGCTAACGAGTATATAAAGTTTCAAATCAAATCTCAATGCCGAGTCCCGAAGCCCAGCCCCGAAGCCCAGTCCCGAATATTCAAAGACACTGCCGACCCCGACGACGCCAAAGACCCCGCTCTTGGTTCTTGGCAACCAGCCAATGCCGTGGAAATATGTGAACCTGTAGGATTCATACAAGTATTGTATTTTGAGAGAGATCAACATATTGGGTTGATAATACGAACCTGCAGTTTCTATAGTGTATTTTGTATGCCATTGAATGTGCCCCCATTTAATCGCCGAATTCTAATTTTGAATATTCCAAAGTGTGCCACTCGTACCTGCTGGATTGTTGAGCGTATTACTTGTACCACGTACCAAGTAAGTACATACATATGTACATATGTATGTATATTTATTCTACTCACTTCTCGCTTGTTAATCGTTCCTGTAGCTTAGTGTAGCAGTCCTATTAGTCATTTCTGTCCTTTTAGTGTCCTTGGGGATTGATCACCCATTTTTTTTTATTTTTTACTTTTTTTAAAAAATAATCACTTTATGCTTAAATCTAATTGACAAAAAAAACCGAAATGAATATATTTCAAAATTTAGAATTTTGTGTTTACAGCTGGAGGTGCCGAACTATACTAATATTTTTCCAGCAGTCTCACACGATCCCAAATCTGACATATGGGGTTTGGTTGGGCATGGATTACTTGTTAAATGTTTTTTTTTTTGTTGGAAATACTCGATTGGAATATTTCCATCACCAAAGTAAGCACACTAAATTAAATATCTCCGAAATCCTGGTGTTTATATGGACATAAATAATATTTATACGGATATGAATACATACGAGTACATATGCTGATCAATATATTGATTCTGTATGCTTAAACCTTAAACGTTTTAATTTATCTTATTTTCTACGCTAAAATATCAATATTGAGTATAATTCTCAGAGTAGATTCAGTTATACATAGCCTGGAGTCTAGGAATCTTACTGATATCGATTTTGTGCACATCATTCTCGGATTACGTTCTCGGACACGAATGAAGCTTATAGCGGGGGATGGGAATTGAAATCCCGGTGTAACTTTTATTAAGGTCCCGTGGAGGAGCAGAGCAGAGCAAAGCCAACAGCAAACAGCAGGAAACCTTCCAATTGCAGTCACCCATCAGAAGGACATAACGATAATTAATAGAATTTGTTCAGGGAATACGTAATGAGGGCTCCTGTCCCTGGCATCGCCAGGCGGACACTGCCCCATGAATTCCTTCCAGGATATGCTCGAGGGTATGGGGCAATCAATGGAGAGCGAGGACAAGTTCTATTTTTATTATTTTTCGATTTGCAACGCATTCATTTGGATTTTGTTGTTTTATTATTAACATTTTCATCCGCTCTTCACCATTGGCATTTTCGCCCGTTTCCGTTTCGTTCTTTGCTTCGTTTTTCCCTCCGTTTTCCCCTATATTTATTTTTTTTATTTTCTCACAAACAAACTTGAATTTAAATGAGCAAAGTGAGGAGGGGGGAGTTGTGGGTCGGCACTGTAAGTGTAATAAAAATTAACATTAATTCAGGAACAAGAAAATGGACAAAAATGCATATGACACAGCAAGGAGAGAGAGAGAGAGAGAGAGCGAAAGAGAGTGTTGTGTTGTGGAATTTTAACAAGAAAAATATGTAAATTGTCTTGTAATAAAAATGTCCAGCCCTCCTCCTACCAGACTTATCTGCAAATATAAATTTTATGAAACATTCCCCTAAAAGAAAGAAAGAAAATCGCAGCAAAGGAATTAAAATGGGAAAGAAAAGAATGACAAAAAAACAAACGCAAGTGAGAAAAGAAGAAACAGCAAAGAAAACAAAGTAGCGCCCAAGGATGGGGAGAACAAGTTATATCCCTGCAGGACATTATTTTAAATACTAATCCGCATCAGTTTTCATTTGAGTCCCCTTCCACTGCTCCGCAAAGATTCGTGCCCCAGGACATTGCCCCCCATTCTCGTCCCTTCCTGCCCTGCCCTGCCCTGCCCGTCTGAGCTGCCATCTTGGTTTGGGCCCGGGCGTCGTTACATAAATTCAGATGTTATCCCAAATGCGCAGCATGCACGTTATTAAAATAACGTCAGGCAGCCCGCAGCGGCACAGGCGACAGTTGGAGCCCAACAAAATGAGGAAAATACCACACGTTCCGGCTGCTGCTTCAGCTCCTGGGCCAGCTTCTGATTCTGGCTATGGCTATGGCCAATGCACGTAGCGCCAATTTGGGCCGACACTCAAGGATCCCTGCCATACATCTTAACTGAAAAAGGAGTATTGTATCGATGACTATCTGAGTATTCAGGCATTTCTGCATTTGAAAAAAATAATTTAGAAATATAATAAATATAATAAAAAAAGTGACGGACTTTAATTCTCGGCGACTAATAAAATCTTTAAAATTAAATTAGGTGCTTTTTCTTGTGTAAAAAAAAGCATTAACCTGCCTCCGATTTATCACTCTAACATGTAAGACTAATCCTAATCTAAATCCATCCACTTCATTCTTTCCTTGTCGTGGCGATCCGTTACTTAAATCCGAATGGGCTTCTCCTCTTTGCTCAGTTCTTTTTTAATTCCACTGCTACGATCGTTGGAACTGTATAGCTTTGGTTCTTGAGTTCTGCACAGCAGGAGTGATGCTTGTGGCTGGTCATTTGTGGCAATGCATTTGCATTCTATGTATTTGTTTACGGGCCGGACATCGCCCCCACGCCCATTAGCAATCTTCTGGTTATTTCAGAGCGTGTTTTGTTACGCTGATAAAACAAAGCCCCAGAAATACCACGCCAGCCCCATCCCCCACGAACGGATGCAGACTGCGGACCGCGGGGGACCACCAATTTATTCCTTTGTTCCAACGTTGGCGCTCCCTAATCCAAATTGGTGGTCAGGCGCGGCTGCGTGTGGCGGGGGTGGCGGGGTTCCACCTGAATTAGCAGCCGATAATTGTTGGGCCATATTTTGGACGGAACCATTGGCCGAGGCAACGCGCAATAAATGCAACCAGTCCACAAAATGCGTGCTTTTTCCCCCTTATATTGCAGCCTGATGCTGAGGTTCCTGGGGAATCAAAGAACAATAGAATGGAAAACCTAGTCTCTGGATAGCTAATGGATAATGGATAGCTTATATATCTAAGGATCATACCTGAATGAAGAAATTAAAGCTAAGGAATAAAAGCATAAAATTTGCTTGGAATATTGCTGTGCCAAATATTGAATTTGGGTTTCAGATCAGTCGCAAATCGGGATGCTGGCCCTTCAGTATTGATTTAAATATTAGCAAAAAACAATTATTGTAAGAGCAGAATATATATATATTTAATATTTTCTTGAATTCGTTGTTTCTTTTAATGAGTAGAGCTCCAAGCTCCATTAACTGGCTACTGCCAGAGTCAAAAATGCGTTGCAAAGATCCGTTCCGGGCACCGAGGCTGGGTGTTGGGAAAATTCCTGGTAAGTATGCACGATTTAAGGGCTTACTCTTTTAATTACTTTCGAATAACAGACAAATACCAAGCGATCTCATTGTGCAACCTTTTTTTGTTTTTTGTTTTGTTTTGTGTATGGTTCGCCTTTGAGGAAGGAAACAAAGCGGACTGCCTGCAGAGGAACCCCACCTAGACCTAAAACCGGGCCTGAAGCCAACCCAAGCTCGAACCCAAGGCAGGCAAAAAGTAAATGAAAATGCAATTTTATTTATTGTTATGTACACATTTTTCCTTTTCTTTTTTTTTTGCTCAGTTCGCGTCGAGCTTATGTAAATTTATTTATTTTGCGTAATTTTTCTTGTTTTTACAGAAGAATAAATTTGCCTTGTTGGGCCGCCGACCCCACTCCTCTTGGAGAAAAAAAAATTTAATTAGAATAAAAAGAGCGAGGCAGCGGAACCAAAGGCAAACTGAGGGACAGCGCAAAGAAGAGAAAGAGAGAGAGAAAGCTGGGCACAAAATTAAAATGAAATGAGGAAAAGGACGAACAACAAAAAACAAACAAAAAATAGATGGAGAAAAGCCGAATGCGAAGTACACGGCCAAAGGAGGAGGAAGAATTTTCCGGCTTCACTTTGCTGTACATTTTGCTCCGTAATAAGGCAAAAGTTGTGCAATTTTCATGTGTAACTGACAGCCGACGCCAACATTTTGTAATGAGCCCTCGGCCAGGGGCCAGAACTGGCCAGTCCTCGCCCAGGAAGGGGCAAAGTGGAGCCAGTCGGTGGACAAAGGTTGGCACTTGGCTGCCATGTCGCGTTCGCGTTGTCCAACGCTCAGACTTTGACTTGAGGGTATTTGCCGCAGCAGCTCCTTTCCCGCACTCACTCGTAAATTATAAGCCATAAAATTGTAACTGAAAAACGAGCGAAATCTCCATACACAGACTGAAGGATACCCTCTATTCTGGCTCTAAATATATTTGGATATAAAATTGATCGAATTAGCTATGGATAAAGTTGCTTAAATATTAGAGAAATACTCGAGAAATGATCTAAGGGAAACCTAGCCACAGTTTTTATACGCTTCGAACCCTTTAACTTAATATATCCATATGTACTGTAGATATACCCTTATCTTCTAGGTGTATGGAGTATAATAAGGGGAATTCCTACCGAAAAAACTGGCACTAGGAGTGGCTTGGGCCTTGTCAGCAACCCGACTTAATTGCACACTTTGTTTATGACTTCATATGCCATATGAGAGGCTGCCATGTACCCTGTACCCAGCTATCCCCCCGTATATCCGCATCTGAACTCGCATCTGTCTGTCGCTCATATGATGTCGCTCAATTATGGCCAGCTTTACGTCCTTTAGTT